GGGCTTGGTGTGGTGGTGTATGCCTGTGATCCCAGCACTCAGGAGGCTGGGACAGAAGGGTGGACATGAGTTTGAGGCCAGCCTGGGCTATATAGTGAGTTCAAGGCCAGCCTGAACTATATAGTGAGACCCTGTCTCATAAAAGTTTGGGGGGGGGGTAGCAGACAAATACCATATAGTTTCAGTTTTTCCGTAAGCTCTCCAACTGGTATTATCGAAGGATTGTAGTCTGGCCTATAAAATAAGATAAAGATTCTCTCAGCAGCAAATTTCAGTTCTGAAATAGACCTTTGGCAATCCTTGTAATTTTAAAAACCACAGTCAGAATAGGCCTCACCAAGGTAGCATGACCTTTAAACAAGAACGAGGAGGAAGAGGAATAAGCCTGAGATATCCAGGGCAGTCCTGCCATTTCCATGGCACTAGGAGTCTGGCGTTTGGGTTGATAGGTATTTTTCTCTTTGGGAAGAACTTAGTCTGTGAAATGCTCTTTCCTGGGCAGATCCACTAGTGTAGAAACAGCAAGTCTCAGAACTGGAAGAGGTCTTTAGAACTTCATTTAGAGGTTGGGCCTGGCATGGATGAAGCTCTGGGTTCAGTCTCCAACACCGTAAAAATAAGTTTTCTTAGATAAATCCAAAGCCCAGTTCTGCATTTGACTGTTGCTTTTTCTCTAAGATATGGGAGATACTCTTCTTTTGGAGTTTTGTTTTGTTTTGTTGAGATAAGATCCCACTATGTAGCTGACGCTGGCCTTGAGCTCATTATGTAGCTCAGGCAAGCAACAAACTCACGGTGATTTTTCTACCTCACCCTCCCAGGTCCTGGGATTATGGGATTACAGGTGAGTACCACCACACTCACCTACATGTTTTAAAAGTATTACTCCAGCCAAGGCAGGCTTCTCACAGCATTATCTTTGATCTTTGCTTCTACACTGTGAAGTAATAGTAACATTGTATTATATACCATTCCCCACAGAGGCACAAAGGGGCTTCGCCCACACTCAAAGGCATTCCTTCCATGCCCCCAGTGGATATGCTCATATTCCACCTGCCTCTGATCTACCCCTTTTCTTTCCAGACCAACATTCTCAAAACTGGAGGACTCCTTTGAGGCTCTCTCTCTGTACCTGGGAGAGCTAGGCATCCCACTGCCTGCAGAGCTGGAGGAGCTGGACCACACTGTGAGCATGCAGTATGGCCTGAGCCGGGACTCACCCCCCTAACCCTGGCCTGGCCCCCTGCAGGGGGGCGTTCTACAGCCAGCATTGCCCCCTCTGCGCCCCATCCCAGGGCCATCCAGGTTTCCTGTGGATTGGTGGCTTGTTGAGAGGCAGAACAAGCCATCTCTACTACCTCCTCAGGAGGCGAGCGGGCGCAGCACCAGGGAAACATATCTCCACAGGTTTTGGGGCCTGGTTGCTGTCTGCAAATCCAACTCGCCTAAAAGCTGTGAAGATTTAAAAAAAAAAAAAAAAAAGCCTGGACTCTGGGCTAGGAAGAATCTGTTACTTGGGACCACTTGGAAACTCCTTGGTCATGGATCCTTGGAGACTGATGCTTACACTAATATGACCAAGATCTGCTGAGCAGCATTCCAGGGTGTAGCTCCCTGTGGCCTCTGACGCCTCTGGTCCAGCTGTGTGCAAGAGGACTTCAAGTGGGAGTATGAACAAGAAAAAGACTGGTGGCCAGGTGGCTCTTGAAAGGATGCAAAATGACAATGACTTTTCCCCCTTCCACTCCAGTTCCTGCTCTCCCTGGAGCAAAGTGAGGAAGTCAGTTTGGAAGAGTCCTTTAGTCAGTGCATGGTGGAACTGGCCAGGAGTCAGGGCAAGGGCTGGTTTCTGTTCACTTGCTAGGGGTGACTTAAGCCAGCCTAGGGACCACATTAATGTGAAGAGGAGCTTCCATCTCGTGTTCTCAAACTATACTACTGGAGACTGGCTGAGAACTTCTGAGTGACATCTGTATCTCCTACGCAGTCACAGCACAGTAAGAAGCTGAAAGCTGGGAAGAAAAGCTCTCCGCTACAGAAAGCCCATATCCTCTCGATGCTGTCACTCACACCCTGATGGTCTCCTCAGTCAGAAGCCCAAGACATTTTGCCTAGATGGGTTTTGGAGGACAGTGTGGCTTGTCACTGGCCCAGGGTCTGAAGAAGAGAGTTTCTGTAATCCCTTGATTTCATCCTTAAGCAGCCACTGCTTATCCTCAGGCTGCCTGGTCTGGACAGCAACTTAAGATTGAAAAGAGATGGTTCCAAGGTCCCAGAGCTGAAATGCTGCGACACGCCTGAGCTGGGCCATCAACTTCTACCCTCTACCTTCCCTTGCTGGCTGGCCCAGCTCACATCTCCTGGCTACAACTTCCTGAGCCATATTCCAGGGCCATGGGCATGGACAGCCCAGGGGGCACACTCCACCTTGGCTTCCAGATACCCAAGGACTCAGCAGCATGAGATTTGCCTCCTCCTACGTGTGAGCCTGAAACATATTTAACAAATCAAAAATGGGCTTGAGGTACATAATTGCAATGTGTGGTAACTATGGGGGGGGATGATCCAGGAGAATGGGTGCTGTTAATATTATCTTGTTGTGTCTGTTGGGTGATATGTGAACTATTGTACATAGACCAGATGAGTTGGGGATAGAATGTCATCTCTGGCCAGAATTTGCTTGCTGTGTAGACTATACTTATGTGTGGAGTTGCAAGCTTGCTGTTGGGTTGAATGGTGGACTCCCAGTAACAGCGTGGTGCAGCATCATGTGGCTGGTTATGCTTCGGCTGTCCCCAGCAAGTGTGGGAACAGCGGCCCTGAGCTGGGCCACTGAGCAGACTAAATAAATTAAGCAGTTAACACAACTGACAATACTGAGTGAAAAAGTGATTTGGAGCCTGACTCGGGGAGATAAATGTCTGCTGGCTACCTTCGTGTCCAGGCCACATGACTCCCAAGCATGGCATTCTCACATAGCCATCTATGCCCGTCCTCAGTCTTCAGCCTCTTCAGAGGCATCCCCCTGCCCACTGTCAGTCTTCCAGAGTACCCCTCACATGCAAAAGCAAGAAACAGGCATTGTCTTAAGCACTTCCTACACATAGGGTGCGATGACTTGCATTCATTTTTCACCCGTGAAGGTGACATGCAGCTCTGTGAAGAAGACACCAGAATACCCAGTCTGTATGTAGTGTCTGTATGTTCAAAGATGGGAGTGGGAGTCTCCTGAGGATTTGCCCGCAGGCAGAGGTCAGGCACAATACCTTTATGGAGCCTAGATGAGGTCACAGGACTGGTCAACAGAAAGAAAGGATTGCCTCCGTTTGGATGTGCCTGCTCTCAACAGGCTCAAGACTGTATAAGGACAGGGAGAAGGCCACAACTCACTGCACAGGTGTTGACAGATAACCCAGAGCTTCCCAGGGTATGGGGAAGTGTTCCTGGAAACCACAAAACTTGGTAACATGGAGATTTGTTTTTATGTAAGTCAAAAAAAGCACAGCAGTTTCCCGTACTTTATACACAGGTGTTCAAATGAGGTATATAAAACATGTATACAGAGAAATGTTTATAGAAAAGTAGAAACCAATGATGTTCTTTTCTCCAGAGTCACACCAAGGGACCCTCAGGCCTAGTCCCCTCAGCAAATGGCTTTAGGGAGCACCATCCTGAACAGAATGTGCTCCACTTATCCCCCATCCACACTGGGGAGAGAAGGCCCACTGAGCTTCAAGTGCTGTGGATAAAGAGCTGTTCAGTCCGGAAGCTGAGGGCTCTCCTACTGGCCATGTCACTAGCTTGTTCTGTGACACTGGACAAGTCATTTTACCTCTGGGTTCCTGTGTCCAAAAGTTTTGAAGAACCTTAAAGTCCTTTCCATTGGTTCTGTGATTGTTTTGTAAGTTAGGGGTTGTGACCCCAATTCCCCATAGGAAGATGCTGGCCTGGAAACCATACGGCCCCTTGCAAATAGGGTACACTGCAGAAGCAAGCCTGAAGTGCTTTTATTATCTTGCCTCTGAGCTCGGTATGCAAACTATCCTAGAATCAACTCAATGAGCCCTATAGTGTACAAATCCCATGGGTTAACTGGTTCCTCTCTTTAACTGTGCAAAATGGAGAGGTCACCACCCACCCCAGAAGAGAGATGGTCTGGGGCACCCCAGGTCCACCTCTGTCCCTGAGGCATAAGGCAAGGGTAGATCCTTCTCTACCCTCTTCCTAAATGGAATGTTTAGTGCAATTCTTCCCTTCCTTTCCCAACAAAACAGGAAGAGGCCCTGGGCCCAGGTCCAGCCCATGGTTGTCAAGGCACATCACTGCCAACAAACAAGCACACCCAGCAGACCTTAGTCCGGATCCCATTCTCTGCCCAAACCTCTGACTTATACAGACTCACTGCTGGTTCTGAGAGGTCAGTAGGGAGGTTCCATCCCTAATACTTAAAAACTACACATTTTTTTCAGTGCCATCTTTTGACCTGCTTGACCTTAACTATGATTAACAGTATATGCCACTCAAGCTCATGGAGAACAAATGGAAAGGCATAGGCTGAGGCCACCTTAATAAAGCACAGAAGAGCCTTGGGGACGCTCCCTGTCTATCCCTGGTCAGGTTCCAGGAACACAAGTGATATTTGGAAGATCTTATCAGCAACACCACTGTGGGAGCTGTGCCATTTCCTCCATCCACAGGCAAAATCCTGCTCCCAGGGATGGACAAGGAGCATTGACAGGATCCTATCTAGCCCTCAGCCCACCATTCTGCCTACTTCTTTCATGAAGATTTACCAAAAAAGGAAGGAGGAGGGTTAACCACAAAACAAAATGTAGGTCCTCCAAGGAAGGTGGGCTGTCCTGCACCAGTTTTGCATGGGCTCCTGCCCACTGAAGCTCAGGCCCCAGGGGTGCCAGCCTGGCCCATGAGGGGTGTGCTGCCCTCCTGAAGGTCGACAGGAGTCTGGTTGCTGTGGACGACGACAGTCCTCTCGTCCATGATCTCACAGGTAGGGTTGGTAAAGGCAGACAAGGGCAGAGTGATTCGCTGCATCTCCCTCTCACATACTTTCTGCTCATGCTGCTCTTTCAAGTCCTTCCCCCTAGGAGGAAAAGAGGCAAGTATTCAGGCTGTGTCTCCTGTATGACTGCTCAGTTAGATACACCCCTGAAGTCCACTAACGCAAGTCCAAAGTATTAGATTTCCATTCTGTCAGAATGCCTTAAACTTAGGGGAGTGCTTCCCTCAGGTTGGTAAAGTGGGAGCGACAGCAGTAGAAGCCTCCTACGACAGTAGTAGGGGTCAATGGAGATACTGTAGAGGAAAGACAGTTTTGCTATTTTAGCCAGGGATCTAAGAGACCCAAAAAACTAGTTATTCCAGCTTCACCCCTAAACCATAAAGTGGTCCTGATACTATTGGGCCAGGGAGATAGCTCAGTGGAATAGCAAGCACAAGGTTCTGAGTTCAATCCCTGGTACCGCAAAAAAAAAAACAACAAAAACCTGACTTGATCTTCGTGCTATGAAATGGATGTGAGTATGTTACTGAGAGATTAAATCCGTGGCTCTGTACCCTTTAGAGACAGTCTTACTAATTTGATAGATTGCTCAGGCTGAGCTTAATTTTACAAATCTGGCTCAGCCTTTCCCAGGCATATACCATTACATCCAGCTTCCCAAGCCTTTTTTTTTTTTTTTTTTTTTTGAGACAAGATCTCGTTAAATAGTTTAGGTCACCCTTAATTCAGTATGTAGCCCAAGCTGGCCTCAAACTCTCAGCAATCCTGCCTTAGCCTTCTGAGTCCTACGGTTACATGAATGCACCACTATGCCCAGCTTTAATTTTTGAGACAGGGTCTTGCTATATTGCTCAAACTTGTGATTCTTCTGCCTTAGCTTCCCAGGTATGGAAGGAAGGTGTGGACTACCACACTTGGCAGGCAAGACAGCCTTCTTAGCCTAGAACCTCTGAATGTATGAGCCCAAAATGTAAATGAATTTCCCAGCCAATGCAGAGGCCAAAATGGACTGAGAGCTTTTCTGGTCAAAGGGAACAATGAGAATGATCAAACTTCAGAGTTGTCATATGCCTTCTAATTCATAGTGTTCAGTGACCTGATCAGACCATAGTGTTTGTTACTCTGTTTTACTCATGTGGAATGTTCACTCCATACTAAGGACTTTATATTATCTCACTTTATTCTCAACTCATGTCTAAAAATTAAGTCACTTTTTATTTTTTATTTTTAAACATTTATTTATTTATTTACTTATTTTGTGTGTGTGTGGCCAGCTCAGCCCACTAGGGGGCGGGGCTGGCTGGCATGAGGTGCTGGGGGATTGAACCGTGGTCCCTGTGCTTTGCTTAGCTTAGCTTGTTCTAAGTAGGTGCTTTAGACCACTGAGCCATCTCACCAGCCCTTAAGTCACTTCTTAGACAAGAAAATAGCCTAGAGAAGTTTAAAAATGCTCCAAGAATATGGTGGACTGAAACCTCAGTCTGTGAGCCCTGACTACTGTTGAGAGAAGTTCTGATCAGGATCATCTGAAAAATGGGTGAGGCAGGAACTCAAACCCAGTCTTTCTGGCCACGCATGAAGGGCGCTTCCTATAAAACATGGACACCCTCAGAGCCAACCAGAGAACCTGGGGAAGGGGCAGCATCCAAGGACCTAGGTCAGCATCTACTGAGGCCAGAAACTTGGGCTCAGCTGGCAGAGGAAATGCTTGAAACAAGCAACTAATGTATGACGTGATAAAACAACACGGGGTCTACTTCTGGCCATACCAGGACACAGGCATAATCACTGATTACACAAGTCATGATGTGAAGGATAATAACAAACTTTCAAGGACCAGGGAAAGAACTGAGGGGAGAGGGGCTGGAGCAGGAAGAGTGCACAGGTACTTTGGAACCATAAAGATGGTTACGAATTACGAAGTTCTCTATTTGTATTGTACATAGTACCAGCTCAGCTTTAGCTATGTGACCCTGGGTGAAGACCCTCTCTGAGTCTTCACTTCCTCTTCCTCATCTGCTTCAAAATAAGATAATAGAAATGAAAGCATTTTGAAAATACTGAAATTGCTGCACAAAAAAATTCATAGGAAATAATTATGATTTGCCCTATGACTTGCTTCATCAAGCAAATTATCCTAATCTGGTTTTCCAAGGAAATTTTCTTACCATGCAAGGTAAGCACTGTGTAATCTTCTCTAAGAGCCTTAATTTCATCATCTGTAAACAAAGAGTTGCCCATGATAATCTCCAGAACCCCTGATACTCTGTAAGATGCTTAACATGAGGTAGTCTCTGATTTGGTATTTCTCACCATAGGGTCACAAGAGGGAGATTTGCAAACTCATCCTCTGGAGTCATCCTAGGTGGCTGGGAGATGACTGTGTCTGTGAACATGCAAGTTGGGGCTTTTGCCCCGTCCTTCTCATTAGCGCTGTTAACTCTTGAAGTAGAAAAATTCCCAGAACACAGAGAGGAAACGGAAATGTCTGAGAGTCAAGAGAGGGAGTCATCTGGACCAAGTGCTCCCCATTCACATCCTAAGGACAACTGAATAGTGTTCACCAGTTAGGGGCTGCTACCACAAGGAAGTAAACAGCTACCTCCTCAATAAAATCAATCGCAAGATTTTTCAAGGCTACCATATAGGGAGAAGCTTGAAAGATCTGAATTTAGTTGTTGTAAGGGAGTTTCCAAGCCAGTAGAAGACCAAAAGACAACTGACAAAAGAGATGAAAGTATGTGTCTTTTGCCATGATCTGACTTTCAAAATTTAAGGTGCTGGGGGCCAGGGAGATAGCTCAGTAGAATAAGCACTTGCCTGGCAAGCGCAAGGGCGTGAGTTCAATCCCTGGTTCTGCCAATAAATAAATAAATAAATAAATAAAAATAAAGGTGTTAAGATTTAGAGGGAAAGCCAGGAACTCCTAACCTCCTGAGTTCCCACCAGAGTAGAGAGAAATAGCCTTTCTATCATATTGAGAATGAGAAGAGCTATGCGTGATCTGTGCCTACTGGAACAGATTTTGCATTTTACACATGCACCATCTTTTAATCTCCAACCTTGCCAGGTGTGGTGGCACATGCCTATAATCCCAGCACTTGGGAAGCTGAGGCAAGAAGATCACCACAAGTTACAAGCCCCAGCCAAGCTATGTAGTGAGTTCAAACCCAGCCTTAACTACATAGCAAAAAAAAAAAAAAAAGTCTAACCTTGTAAGATAATATCCTACCCATTTTATAGACAAACACACTCCAGAGCCCTGCTTTCCTCAGTTACCTCATTTACTCAGCATATGGCTGGAGCCTGCTGAGCTGCTGCTAATGGTTAGGAAACTTGATACACAAGTCTTTAGGGGAAATAATATGTATTAATGGGACAGAACAAAGCTGAAAAGCCACCAAGAGTGAAGGAAGCAGACACTAGGATTAGTCTGGTTTAGTCTCTTCCATTTTTTTTTTTTTTTTTTTTTTGGCAGAACTGGGGATTGAACTCAGGCCTTTGCGCTTACCAGGGAAGCACTTATTCCACTGAGCCATTTCCTGGCTCCAGTCTCATCCATTTAGAAGCCTGTAAACATACTCAACCCCACATGCCTATTGTTGCCTGTGAGTCCTGGAGATGAAATGGCTGCCTCAGCTCCCTTGGGAGACCAGAGTAGGACTGCCAGGCTCACTACACTGACCACTGAGCGGCTCAGCCCCCACTCTCAGTCTTGGGGTGGAGGCAGCCAGGCTATTGTATAAAAGCTAAGAAAAAACAAAAAGCTGATTCAGTGACTCAGCTCCTCTTCCAAGGGAGTGGAGGAGTGTTGACTTACTCTTTCTCCCTCCCTTCTTATCAAAATGTAAGAGCACCTCTTGGAGCTAGTGCAGACATTGTATTGGAGAGAGACAGGGAGATACCCAGTGGCAGACTGGTCATCTGAACCTCCTGGTACTAAGACAAAGACCCTGAAAGGGAGCCTGGTGCCTACCCACCATTGCTCACCATTGGCCTAGCTTCACAGTCTTTAGCAGAACTCAAGGCTTGCAGTAATTACCCTGACTGCTCTGGGGTGAGGACAGAAAGCTGGGCTCACCAGAGTACAGGCATGAGTGAAGCTGCTACCTCTGACTTCCTCCCCCAAGGGTACAGAACCACCACAGACCTTCCGGCAACAGAGGTTGTTCCATTATTAAGTCTGAGCCACTGCTGACTTCCTAGTCATACACAGGGCTGTGCCACCCTGCTGCTCAGGACTAGTTTCCCAAAACAGCTACAGGTTATAAACACCAACTGTAGGCCCTAAGCACACTGTATTAATTCCAACCTCACGACAAACCTATTTGGTACCTATTTTGATATTTGTTTAAGAAATGGGAAGGCAGATGTAGACTACGAGATTAAATCTTCTGTTCAAGCTAACGGCATAGCTGAGACTTAGACCCAGCTTTGTCTTTAGCTACCTCCAAACACTAATAGTCCTTTTAGGAAATCAGAGCTGAGATGAATGTGATATATAACTATCTGCCCCTATTTTACCAATTAGGAGGATTTTTTTTTTCTTTTCTTTTTTTTTTTTTTTTTTTTCTTGCTCAGGCTACCTTAAGAGCGGGTCTGGTGAGGCATTGGGAGCTGGGGATCGAGCTGGGGATCGAGCTGGGGATCAAGCTGCGGTCCTCTGCGCCTGACAGGGTTTGCCCCAGCAGGCACTTAAAACAACTAGGCTAACCAGCAAGCCCCACCAATGAGGAAACTGAGGCCCAGAGAAGGTGACTAACTTGTCCAATTTTACATTCAGAATTGGCAGCAGTTCCAAACGTAGATTTTGGTTCTTATAGATAAACCCAGCCATTCAGGGGAAAAGTTTCTTTACATTTCTAAAGTATCCTTTGCAGTTCAAAACAAATTTATATGAGGTGTGTGGACCTTGATGGACTTTCAGGAGACACTAAAAATCTTTTCTTTTTGAGACAGGGTCTCATTAAATTGCCCAAGTTGAACTCAAACTTGCAATTATCCTGCTTTAGCCTCCCCCAGGGCTAAGGCTAAAGGCTTGCACCACTGCCCAGCTGCTGATAATCTTTCAGACTTATCTTATTAGCTGTGTGGCCTGGATAACTTCTAGGCCTCACCCTCTCACTGTAAAATAGTGTAATAGTACTTTTTGAATGATAATGAGGCTTAGGTGAGATTATTGATCATCACGGGCGAGCATTCTCAGTAGGTCTTTATTAAGAAAATATGAGCCGGGCATAGTGGCACATGCCTGTAATCCCAGCAGTTGGGAGGCTGAGGCAGGGGGATTGCTGAGAGTTCAAGACCAGCCTAGGCTACAAAGTGAGCTCAAGGCCAGCCTGAACTGCAGAGCAAGACCCTGTCTCAAAAAGACCCCCCAAAAAAGAGAGAAAAGCAAATATGAATTGAATGTTGGCTGATACTGTGATTATACGATTGGTATCCAGCTGCATATATGTAATAGTTAATGGTTTCTCAGGTGAGTGGGTGTCGGGAGAAATGTATCCCCATTTAACAGACAGGATACAAAGGTGAAATCAATACACAGTTCAGTTCAGAGTTCTTAACAGGACACTGTGTTCTCTGTGGGGACAGATGAGAGCTGAGAATTTGTCTCTAGCCCACATGTGGTTTCCTGCTGTACAGTCTGTTCTCAAAGCACATTTACTAAGGAAAGGTGTGGTCTCGTGGTTAGTAACAGAGTCTGGTGACTTGATGTTGTCCCCTGAGTTTATAAGAAAGTAAATAAATTCAGGCCGAAGGACAGACCCATGACAGCCGAGAAGAGCAAATCCAGAGAAAAGGATGCTTTCCTCACTGGGCACCAGAACTGAGCTTAGTTAAGAACATTTAGTCAGTGTAAGCACCTAGCTAACCTGGAAACTGTCAAAAGATTGGAATGTTGTCTAATGCCTAAAGAAGGAGGAAATATTTCAAGGGCTAAAATCAACCAACACTGTTTGGATATGACTATGAATTGTATGGGTGGAGGGAGTGCTATGTGATTTCCTCTTTACTCTGGTTTCGCTTGTCCTGCCCTGTCAACCATCCCACAGTGGGCCACAACCTCCGTCTGACAGCCATGATTCTTTTTCAGGTCAATATTTCCCCTCTCTGGACCTCTGCTTCCTGAATCACAGAAAAAACAGAGAAATGAACTTGCAGAATACTAGTCTAATACCTACATTTTTGAGAAAAAGTTGTTTACTGTTTACGATGTGCTACAAACTATGAGCTAAGCATAATTCATGCCTTAACCCCATAGCAATGCTCTGGAGTAGAAAATAAAAGTAATTTGCTCAGAGTCCCAAAAACAGCTATTAGTGGCTGGGTAGGCCTTCTCCAACAGTTATTAGTACTACCTCAGGCAAGCTACTTATTCTCTCTTGCCTCCATTTCTTCATCTGCACACTGGGATAGTAACAGCATTTACCTCATAAAGAGTGACTGTGACACATGGGTTAGATCATGAGAAGTGTTTGAAGCAGTGTCTGGCATAAGGCAAATGTTTGCCATTGCTGTGATTATTACCCAATACTTCCTCTTTCTCAAATGCAAAAACAGGAGGCTGGGCCAGCCAGATAGCTCAGCAGATTAAAGCAACTGCTTAGGCAGAATGCAGCTGCCGGTTGGATCCCCATCCCCAGTGAGCGGTGCCAGTGCCATGCCTGGAGCACGCTGAGTCAGCGATTGAGATTGGGCATGGTAGTGTGCACCAGTAATCCCAGCACTTGGGAGGCTGAAAACAGGAGAATCACTATGAGTCCAATCTACATAATGAGATCCTGTAGACCCTGTACTAAGTATATAAAAATAAAAATTAAAAAACACGAAGCTGACTACAACTCATATAAACACCCTAGTGTAGCAATGGCAAACCTTTCAGAGCTTCCAATGTTAATAAACAGCCTGCTGGGGCATGCTTGCCATAGGTTCACCAGCACTGCCTTCAATTTACGTAATCCTGGGTGAACCACTGGGGTATTTCTGAGAACCACCTGGCTCTCAGAAATGGCTCTCATCACTGGAAAGTACAGGTGACTCAGTCACTTTCATTATAGAAAGTCTTCTCAGACCAGAAGAGAAATACCATAAATCCTCAGGGCTAGAAGTAAGATCCTCTACTTTTCCCTGAGTGGTAAATAATTTTCCAGAGTCAGCCAGTTCTGTAAAAAGTGGCTGTGACTCTTCTCATCATCCATCACTTTTTGAGCACTTTTTAATTTTTGAGACAAGGTCTCACTAAATTGTAAATTAGCCTTGAACTTGTAATCCTCCTGCCTCAGCATGCTAAGCAGATGGTATTACAGGCATGTGCCACCACATCTGGCATAAATCACTGATTTTGAAACTCTTTCCTACATCGCCTCGGGGGAGACCTTTCAAAATATGTAGTCCTCTTGCTGTCACAATCACAGGTCAGATTCCTGAGCTCCCAGGTAGCCTCTTTGAGACTTACTCATGAATGATGAGAAACAGCAGACTCTTCTCAAACTCCCCTTTTTCTACCTACCCTAGGGGAAACCCCAGTGTTTTTTGGTGGAGGAAATTTATATCCCAATTACTAAAACAGTGGCTGGGAACATTTTCTAATAAAAAGAAAAAAAAAAGTATAACTCACAGAAGAAATTCAGTCTCCAGATCCCTGCTTGAGTATTCAATCTGATTTCTAAAGTGCCACTCTCTTATGTGCTGGGCATTTTGGACTAAACAGCAATGAATTTATATCTACGAGTTGGACTTTAATCCAAGTTCTATCGCTCCTAGGTAGTATGACATTGGACAAATCATCTGACAAAGTCTTTCTTATCTTTAAAATGAGGAACAACAAAACTAATGTCAAAATGGACCAAAGATCTAAATATTAAAACAGAAACACTAAATCTATTGGAAGAGAAAATAGGTGAGATGGCTCTGTGGTCTAAGGCACCTACTTAGAACAAGCTTAGCAAAGCACCGGGATGGTTCAATCCCCCCAGCACCACATGCCAGCCAGCCCTGCCCCCTGGTGGGCTGAGCTGGACACACACACACACACACACACACACACACACATAAATTTAAAAAAAAAAGAGAGAGAGAGAAAATAGGTAGAAATCTTGAAGACACAGGTATAGGCAGAGAGCTTATGAACAAAACCCAGATGGCATGGGAAATAATCCAAAGAATCAACAACTGAGATCTCATTAAAAAGCTTTTGCACATCAAAAGAGTGAAAAGACAACCGACAGAGTGTAAAAAAATTTAGCCAGTTGTCTCTCAGCCAAAAGACTTATGTCTAGAACATAAAAATAATTTTAAAAAATCAGACTTCTGAAAGTCAAAGACCCAATCCAAAAATGGGCATCTGAGAAGAATATGCACTTCCCAAAGAAATACAAGGCCAACCAAATAGCTCAGTGGATTAAAGCGCCTGCAAGTGGGCACAGAGGCCCAGAGTTGATCCTGGGCCTGCAGTGACAGCCCCGCCCTGGGAGTGTGCTGAGGCTGCAATTGAGACTGGGCATGGTGGCACTGTAATCCCAGCTCTTGGGAGACTGTAAAAAAGCAGATCACTAGAAGTCCGATCTAGTAGTGAGATCCTGAAAACCCTGTAGACCCTTCCCTAAAATACAAAACAAAACAAAAAAAAAAAAAAAAAAAAAAAAAAAAAAAAAAAAAAAAAAAAAAAAAAAAAAAAGAAAGAAAGAAAGAAAAAAAGAAATACAAATGGCAAATAAGTATATGAAAAAACATTCAACATCACTGGTCATTTGAGAAATGCAAATTAACATTGGGATTCCATTTCACCGCAGAAAGAATGGCTATCATTAAGAAATCAATCAATAACAAATGCTGGCAGGGATGTGGCGAAAAAGGAACACTTCTCCACTGCTGGTGGGAGTGCAGACTGGTGCAACCACTGTGGAAATCAATACAGAGACTCCTTAAAAGGCTAGGATTGGAGATGCCATTCGACCTAGCTATTCTTTCTGGATATCTTCCCAGAACAATTTAAAACATCATACCATAGCGTTATAGGTGCAAGAATAACAAGAACCCCTACCTCATAAGGGGTATGGAGTAAAGACACCAAAGGAAAATGTCCAAGATCACTTGCTAAAGACCAGAACCAAGTCTCTACATCTTAAGCTCGTTTTCCTTCCTTTAAGATCTTACTTCTTTCTGGGTAAGACAGCCAGAAAGACTTGATTTGACTCTGTGCTCCTTCATCCCTCCCTCTTCCCGAGAGAGCCCAGAAGAAAATTTACTGACCTCTTGTAGGTGTAGCCCAAGACAATACCAGCTCCAATGGCGATGATGATTACCATCATGGTAATACCCAGCACATAGCCTGCCGAGGACAGGACACAAGGTCCTATTAGCCATACTCCGTAACCCCCAGACAATGACCAAATGATATCTCTTGGTGAATTCCAACGAGGGCTGTTGGGGGGGCTGCCATACCCAGAGTTCCCAGGTCCTTTTTGTCCTTGGAGTGCACCCGCTGGCTGATCCCAATCACTGGCTGCACAGCCGCTGCCTCGCTCCGGGCAGGCAGGGTGTTGGCAGGAGCAAACACCTGCGCCTCATCGCCATGTGGCACTTCAGTCCTGTCCTCAGGCTCCGGGGTAGAGGCTGGGGGTTCCTGGGAAGTGGTCTCTGGAGGTGAGGTGAGAAATAGCTTTCATCAGAGACTCGGGCCCACCCTAGAACGCTCCCTGCCCGAAGTCAAAGCCATGGCTGGGAAGTGGTGCAAGGCAAATGTGAGGGAAACATCGCATGCCAGGCAGGGTCTCTCACGCCTCCGGGTCTCCGCCTCTGCAAATGCATGCTATCCTCCAAGACCCACCTCTGTTGCCCTCTTCTCCAGGGGTCCCCTCACCTCCACGCCAGTCAACAATCCATGATTCATTCCGGCAGCTCACATCTATTTGCACACTAAATACAAATCCCTGTGTTCAATCTTGATTATCTCACTTAATTCTAGCGAGCTGTCTTGCTTCGGGGGCAACAACAATGTTGCTTTTTGGAATCTTAAATCAGTATTCAAATCTGGACCCTGCCTTTGCCTTTGGTAAATTGTTGAACTTTCTCTGCGTCTCAGCTCCCTCAAACAGCTTCTTCCCAGAGCTAGCGGGCAGCTCGTCCAGAGCACACCAGGCGCACCCCAAACCGTCAACAGACGCTCACGCGCATGCGCCAACGGCCACTCCCCGCGGACCCGGCTAGCCTCCGGAGATTGTTTACAAGCACTCAAGAAGAATGAGCTCACTCGGAGCGGCGGGCGCAGCCAATGGGCTTTGGACCCCACAGCCTGGAGACAGCCCTGACGAATCAGATGCGGCGGGGGCGGGGCGGGGCCGGCCCGCTACTGGCGGCCGCACGTGTGCCCGGGGTGTCTGCGCCCTTTCCAGTCGGGCCCCGACCTAGGGGTCCCCGGGTCCTGGGCTGGTACCTGGGCAGCGCGCGTCCTGACAAGGCACCTTCTCAGGCTGGCCGCCATCGCCGCTCACGTAGCACCAAGGCCCGCGCGGGTCGCGGTCGGGATTCCGGCAGTAGTTGTGGTTGCCGGCGCCTGAGAAGGGAGAGAAGGCATAAGCCGGGGACCTGACCGCCGCTGACCGCCACCCCCCCCCACCCCCCGGCGACAGCTCACCCAACTCGAGGGCAGAGGCCGCCGGTCCACCATGCGCGTCCAGCCAGTTGAGGCAGAGAAGGCCCGGCGCGGGCGAGGGCTGGTCTACCCGGTACAGGTGTCCGTTGTCCCAGAAGCAGCCTGTGACAAAGAGGGAGGCCCCCGGACCCTGAGTGGGGCGGCGCACCCTGGCGGCGCCCTTGTTGGCTGGGGGACCCAGGCCCCCTGCTTCCTGTTGGTGGACAAGCCTGCCTGCCTACCTGCTGGATAGAGGTCCAAGTCAAACGAGACAGCTCCTTAAAACCCCTGGCCCTCAGTGCTGAACACTGTATTTGCTGATGTCTTTTTAATTAATTTTTTTTTGGCAAGCGCTGCATAAGTACAAGGAATCGTTGTTACGATTGAACTAGTGGCTACTTTGCATGAAGAGGAGCCCTGGCTTAGGGTCCCTATATGGAGATAGTGGGAGTGGGCAGCCAGACCTGAAGTCACCCCTGTGTTGAAATACTCATGTTACATAAACCCTGGTGTTTTCTCCTCCACGGATATGGCCACCTTCTTCCAGTTTAACAGGCAACATTCCCTCCCAGGAGAAATTTACAGAAGCTCTGAGTCAAGAGAAGAATCAAGAAATCTTCAAACAGAGGGAACCTGCCACATCGTTGCTTGCATGTGACTCCAAACTCCCACTCCCTGCAGCAGGAAAGCCACGGGAAGAGCATAGGGAAGGAGGGCCTATGCTCTGGCCACACTGTGCAAAGGGTATAGAAAGAACAGGTTTTGTGGAGTGGAGATGAATTCCCAACCTCCATCTACCCATGAGCGAGGAAAGGGGAAAAGAAAGTGGCTACTTGTCTTTGTTCTTAATAGCAAAGATGGAGCTGCAAGCCCCTGGCAAGGAAGGCGGGGAGGGTCCTTTCATTGGACGACAAAACCAGCAAAAGGGTTCATTTCCTGCCACCTGGCCATGTTTGGAGTTAGGGGGCTTTATCCATTGTGCTTCATTAATTTGCTGCAGAAGGAAAAGACTGTAATCTCACCTCCAGATCCAAAGGCTTCTGCTAGGAGCATGTTGCTGAGAAGCAGTGTCTGCACCCAGACCAACACCATCCTCTCCTCCTCGGTCCTGCAGGTGATTGAACAACCAGTATCCACCTGGGGTCCTCTTTGGCAGCAGCTTTGCCTTCCAGGCTCAGCCTTGCAGCCAGACCTGCCCTTGTTATGCTCTTCTGGTAAACAGCCTCTCTTTAGAACTGGGAGCTTCCCAGCTAGCTTGCTGCAGCGCGAGGTGGTTTTTTTTCCGGCTGAAAGGCGCCCCCTGGGTCCTAAGCCTCCTATGCCATGCAAGATCACTAACCCTAGGCCAAAAGAGGAACTCAGCCACCTGAAGCGAGGCAGAGTGATTCAGCTTGTGCTTAGCTATGGATCCATTTGAAACCTTCAGGCTACATCCCCAAGGCTTTTCGTCACTTTATGTGCATTTCTGTGAGTACATGAACAATAATTCTGTCAAGAGGCATCACGGGGAAAAGGCAATATAAGCACAAAAGCACAAAACATTTTTAGGGAGGGGATACTAGGGCAATTCAAGACTATATACAGTGCACAAGTAAAAGTATGGTGTTGAAATAACTTTATAGTTACTGTGGTGGGGGAATTGTTCTATTTTTGTTTTTTGAGACAGGATCTCACTGTGGCTTCAGGCTGGCCTTGAACTCAGTTATCCTCCTGCCTCAGCCTCCCAAGTGCTGGGGTCACAGGTGTGTGCCACCACACCTGGCTCTATACCTGTTCTTGAGCTTTGTGGTTTGTTCATGTTTATGAACGCTGACATGTATGTATGTGTGTGTGGTACTGGGTATCGAACCCAAGAGTTCTCTACTACTGATCTACATACCTAGTTCTTTTGTTATTACCCTGAGACACAGTCTCTCAGAATTTCTCAGGCAGGACTCAAATTTCAATCCGTCTGCCTCAGCTTCCCTCAGTGCTGAGATTACAGGCGTGTGCCACCACACTCAACTGCTTTTTAAAATTTAAACAGTGTAACTTTGCCAGGATGAGATCAGTCACATTCCTTTGGAGTTTCCATATACAGTAAAAATATAGAAGTAATATCTTTAGTTGGAAATGTATATTATGCAAGCCAGGCATGATAGTGCATACCTGTAATCCCAGCACTGGGCAGGCTGAGACAGGAGGATCACTTCCAGTTCAAGGCTAGCCTGAAAAATGCATGTATTTAAAAAACAAAAAAGGGCTGGTGAGATGGCTCAGTGGTCTAAAGCACCTACTTAGAACAAGCTTAGCAAAGCACA